CCTTTGCCCTTGGGCGGCGGGTAGCGGTAGGAGTAGGGGTGGTAGGCGGTGTACAGGTAGCTCGCCATCCCCTCCTCCGCCATCGCACCGTACCCGGAGTACCCTCCCTCCAGGGGCGGCCTTAAATACCCCCGGGGCGGGGACGGGCTTCCCCCGCCCCCGACGGGTGCCGGCTTTGTTGCCCCTTCCCGTCGCTGCCTGGTGCTGGGCCTCGGGCAATCCCCCACCCCAAGCACAGCGCCCCAGGTGAACCGGGCAGCGCGGCTCTTAATTACCGCCGCGGGATTAGGTAGTGGAGAACACGTGTTTGGTTCGGCTTCGCCATGTATTTGTGGTGAGAACAACGAGCACAATGCTTTTACAGCAGGTCGGAGGCACAGAGATACACGCGCGAGGTGGTTTTTCCCTTCATCCCTACTGGCACCGAGTTGGCTTTGCCTCTGTAAAACGCTGTCTCCTTCTTCCTACCCATTCCTGCTGCACTCAGCCGGGCAGCAGCCTCCTTGCATGAAGTTTTACAGTTACTGGTCTGCATCACAATGATACTTTTTACCTTCCCCCCACCCCATTTATTTTTTGAAGAAGTAGAACTGTCATGGTAATAAACACACATCACCTTGTACAATGGAAGCAGCTGGAGAAACGATGGAGGCTGGGCAGCTCTGCAGCCCCAGCTGGGTTGCAAGCACAACACACATTCACATCCCAGGGAGTCACCTCTTTGTCTCGTCTAAAGCGATGTCTGCGTTGGCTCCATCTGAATGGAGTTGTGCTCCTCTGTTGTCACTGTGCCATATGAAGTATCGGCTACCTCTTCTTCCTTCAGTTTCTTGTAGGAAATATCTGTGTCTTCCTCTTCTCCGAGTGTATCTTGCTTGTAGCTGTCTCTTCCATACATCTTGTATACCAGCACAAAGAGTCCCGCTTCTGCCGACTGAAAAAGCGCGTAAAGCAAGGGAAACATGTACATGCCCCCTATGAGATCCGGAGGGAAGGTGAGTTTTAGGATGGCGGTGCAGAGCTGGACGTTTTGGCATCCTGTTTCCAAAGACACTGTTCTCCTGCAGTGTGGGGGCATTTTAAAGACCGTGGCTAAGCCATATCCCAAGGCGTACCCTGCTAGAGGCATCAGCACTGCAATGGCGTAGACAGATGCTGGAATGTGTGCCAACAGATCTGGGCCCAGCATGGTCCCAGTCAGGATAAACAGGATCACCAGAGTCACCAAGAGAGACCACAGGGAAATCTGGCAATACAGACATTGAACACATGGGTTATTAGTTTAAAAGGATAACCATAGCAGGTAGACGCTTGCTAAGAGAGTCTAAACCGAAAAACATAGTTATGCTGCCCTTCCTGGGTTTGCTCCCAGCTCAGGATTTTGGTGGTGTTTGGTCATATCCCAGGAAAGGAAGGGGCTGAGATCATCCTCCATCATTTTGCTTTGGGAAGACTTTCTGGGAAACAAGAGAGCCAGGGCTTGTGCTTCACTCTTCCTTTCACAATTAAGCTAATTTAGTTGCGTATTTTAAGGAAGCATGGCCATGCCCACAGGTTGGTTTCACTTGCCCTGGGTGCAGCGGAAGTGGGGAGATAGCGGGATCCTGGGGAATGCTTCTGCTATAGGGTCCAGGATGACTCCCAGGGTGCAGTGCCACGCTGCCCTCCTTCCCGTTCACTATGATAGGGGGTAACCCGCCCTTTCCCTCGCTTTCCATCTCTGTCCCCTTTATTTCAAGACTGCAAGTCCTGGTATTCTATCTATCTAAGTAGCTGAACATGCCTGTGTGAAGCTACTATCGGTTTGGAGGGACCAGAAAGGTTACAGCCGTCCGACCCCCGTGCACTGGTGCCGCCCCCGGGCATCCCCCGCAGCGCGGCCGCCCATTTCCCCCCCGGCGGCCGTGCCTACCTTGACCAGGAGGTCGGCGGCGCGGGGGTGCCGGTACCGGATGAGCACCCCCAGGCCGATGGGCAGCAGGGTGCTGCCCAGCGTCAGGCTCACCGCCCCCAGGGGCAGCAGCCGCACTACGGCCGTGTTGATCCAGTGGCGGCTGTAGATCCAGAGGCAGAGGGGCATCAGGAAAAGGGCCAGCAGCGTGGAGGAGGCCGTCATGATAATGCTACGCCGGGGGAACCAGAGAGACACAGGATCACCGACCGGCCGAGGGGCAGCCCCCTCGGTATGAGGGCTCCGCAGCTGGCCGGGCGCTGCTTACGGCAAGAGACCTCCGCTTTCTTGCCCCGGCCGAGGCGCGGGCAGGCTTTTTAGGGTAGGGGGCAGGAGGCGTGTGTCGGGGTCCGCGTTAAGATCTGCCCCGGCAGAGGCAGGAGAGCAGTGCTGGTTCCCACCGCGCCGTGCCCGCCCGCCCGTCCGCCCGTCCGTCCGCCCCGGTTCCACCGGCGGCAGGTGCCCAGGGAACCCTCCCCGCGTCCCGGGGCCGCCGCAACCCGGCCGGCTGGGGGTGAAGGAGAGCGAGGCGCCTACCTGAGATTCATATCCCCGTCGACGAGCACCGACATGAGGTTGGAGAGGTTGCCGCCGGGGCAGCAGCCGCACAGCAGCACGGCCACGGCCGCCACTTCGTCCAAGGCGAAGATGAGGGCGAGGAGGAAGGCCAGCAGCGGCATAGCCACGAATTGCCCCAGCAGCGCCAGCAGCAGCCCTACGGGCCGCCGCAGCTGCTGCCCCAGCTGCCCCAGCTCCACAGCGCAGCCCAGCCCCAGCATGGTCACGCAGAGCCCCAGCCCCACCAGCACGCTCAGGCCCTGGCTGAGGGAGCGGTCCCCGAAGGCCTCGCCGCCCCCGTCCAGCGATCCGCCGTCGGGGCCGCCGTCCCCCGCGGCCGCCGGGGGCTGCGCGGAGCTGGCCATGGGCTGCGCGGCCCCGGGGAGCCGCCGGCTCCCGGCCGAGCCCCAGAGCAGGGAGCGGGCGGCGGGGGAGCCGTCAGTACGGGATGCGGGGATGGCTCGCCCCGGCGGCCGGCGGAGCCCGCATCCCGCCCCGCCCCGCCCCGGCTCGGCTCGGCTCGGCTCTCGGGGCGCTGCCGATGCGCTGCGGCCGCGGTCCCTCACCGCTGTCTGCTGCAGGCACCGCCCGCGCGTCCCCGGACCCACGCGGGGCCACCCCCGCCGTGGGCGGTGTCTCGCAGCCGCCTCGACGGCTGGCACGCTCGGCCGCCAGCGCCGCCCGGCCCCGCCGGGGGGAAGCGCAGCCGACAGAAGGTCTCACGACCGAAACCCCCTCCCCGGCAAGACCCCGTCAGACCGAGTCTGGAGCCGGCACAGCCACCTACAGCCTCCCGAGGGCCAGGGCAGGGCCCGACTTTTCCAGCGGAGGAACTGAGGCATCAGGAGATTTACTTTGGAATCGACATTAAAACTGGGTCAGTTAGCATCGCAGTGTCACCCGATGTGGGTGGGCAGCACCAGACCCCTCTGCTGAGGGAAAGTCAAGCTTGTTTCCCCTCCAGGCAAATTGCCATCTGATGTGAAAGCTTCGGGAATGCGTGAGGAAGGATGGAAAGCCCTTTTTCGAGGTCGAGGAGGCACCGCTTTATGCTGATTTGGTCCCAGAAGCTTCTAAGGAGAAGTGGTACCTTTTAAAGGGCAGTCAGTAAAGGTGGAGGAAGCAGGCAAGTTCACAGGCACACAAGTATTCGAACCAGGGTAAGATATGTAATCCATCACCCAAAAATCACATGCAAGGGTGA